AGTAAGAACATGTGGTGTTTGGTTTTCTGTTCTTGTGTTAGTTTGTTGAGAATGATGGTTTCCAGATTCCTCCATGTCCCTGCAAAGGACATGAACTCGTCCTTTTTCATGGCTGCATAGTATTCCACGTGTATATATGCCACATTTTCTTTATCCAGTCTATCATTGATGAGCATTTGGGTTGGTTTCAAGTCTTTACTATTGTGAACAGTGTCTCAATAGACATACCTGTGCGTGTGTCTTTATAATAGAATGATTTGTAATTCTTTGAGTATATACCTAGTAATGGGATTGTTGAGTCACATGGCATTTCTAGTTCTAGACCCTTGAGGAATCGCCACACTGTCTTCACAATGGTTGAAATAATTTACACTCCCACCAACAATGTAAAAGCATTCCTATTTCTCCACATCCTCTCCAGCATCTTTTGTTTCCCAGCTTTTTAATGATTGCTATTCTAACTGATGTGAGATGGTATCTCAATGTGGTTTTGATTTGTGTTTCTCTAATGGCCAGTGATGATAAGCTTTCTTTTATATTTTTGTTGGCCACATAAATTTCTTCTTTTGAGAAGTACCTGTTCATATTGTTCAGCCACTTTTTAATGGGGTTGTTTGTTTTTTTCTGGTACATTTGTTGAAGTTATTTGTAGATTCTGGATATTAGCCCTTTGTCAGATGGTTAGATTGCAAAAATTTTCTTCCATTCTGTAAGTTGCCTGTTCACACTGATGATAGTTTCTTTTCCTGTGCAGAAGCTCTTTAGTTTACTTAGATCCCATTTGTCAATTTTGGCTTTTGTTCCCACTGCTTTTGGTGTTTTAGTCATGAGGTCTGTGCCCATGCCTATGTCCTGAATGGTATTGCCTAGGTTTTCTTCTAGGGTTTTTATGGTGTGAGGCCTTACATTTAAGTCTTTAATCCATCTTGAGTTAATTTTGTATAAGGTGTAAGAAAGGGATCTAGTTTCAACTTTCTGCATATGGCTAGCCAGTTTTCCCAATGCCATTTATTAAATAGGAAATCCTTTCCCCATTGCTTGTTTTTGTCAGGTTTGTTAAGGATCAGATGCTTGTAGATGTGTGGCATTATTTCTGAGGCCTCTGTTTTGTTGCATTGGTCTATATATCTGTTTTGGTACCAGTACCGTGCTGTTTTAGTTACTATAGCTCTGTAGTATAGTTTGATGTGATGCCTTCAGCTTTATTCTTTTTGCTTTGGATTATCTTGACTAGGCGGGCTTCTTTTTGCTTCCATATGAAATTTAAAGTAGTTTTTTCCAATTCTGTGAAGAAAGTCACTGGAAGCTTGATGGGGATAGCATTGAATCTATAAATTACTTTGGGCAGTATAGCCATTTTCATGATATTGATTTTTCCTATCCATGAGCATGGAATGTATTTCCATTTGTTTGTGTCCTCTCTTATTTCCTTGAGTAGTGGTTTGTAGTTCACCTTGAAGAGGTCCTTCACATCCCTTGTAAGTTGTATTTCTAGATATTTTATTCTCTTTGTAGCAATTGTGAATGGGAGCTCACTCATGATATATCAATATTTTTAATATAAAATGTATCAAATTGGCTACTATTAAATTAGCATCATTAAATTATTTGCCATTGTCCATCTATATAACAGAATAAAATTGTTATTTATGGGAGATCCATGCCATACATAATCTGTGGCTCCTGATATGCTTATGGTATTTCTAATCCAGTTTATAAGTCAACAGGACCGAGGTCTTCTCTAGCTCATAATTTCCTGACTCAGTAAAAATTTTTCATGATCTGTTACTTTCTTGATTTGTTTCATTCAAAATTATGACATAATCAGACTTGCAAATTACAACTGTACCAAAGAGCAAATAAAGATGTATCACAATGTGTGTGCCCCACCATCAGAGGACAGGTGTAGTACTAAGTTCCTCACCACCTTTGAATGCAAATCAATAATACTTTTAGAACCTTAGAACCAAATCAATGAGAATTTAGAATCTTAGAACCTATGACTTAGACTCATAGGTTCTAAGTTCCTCACCACCTTTGAATGCAAATCAATGAGACTTTCATCACCTGATAAACAGAACATTGCCATTTTGACAGTTTAAACGGCATTGATCAATGTCTTTGATTCAGGTACAAGTTTGAAGAGTTTATGGTTATCGAAGAGTTAGAGAATTAAAGAGTTCAACTTATTCAGTCAAAACATCACATGACATCTTATTAAGCACTGCATTCAATTTTAGAATTTATTATTCCTATTTTAAAAACAATGGTAAAAGAGGGTCAATAACTAAGTGTTCTGAAGTTGTGTAGAGGGCTTCCCATACAGAGATTCAACTGTTGGGCTGACACTTTCATCCTTTGAGTGGCAGTGAATCAATTTGCTAAAATTTTAAAGCACTGTTTATGAGCCTTACATAACTCCTCGAAACCTTACAATAGCCATAGGTTGTGACACAGCATGGGTTGTCTTCGTTTCTCTGACTGATTTGTAGGAGTTTATATTTCAGGACTAGAGTCCTTTGAGAGACAGATGTATTCCAAATGCCTCCTTCCAGTTTATAGTCTGTCTCTCCATTGGCTTACTGCATCTATTCTCTCAATGTTCTCAAACAAACAGAAGTTTTTAATGTGAATAAAGTCTGATTTTCCTATATTTTCTTTTATGATTAATGCTTTCTCTTTTTTGAGACGAAGTTTCACTCTTGTTACCCAGGCTGGAGTGCAATGGCATAATTTTGGCTCACTTCAACCTCTGCCTCCTGGGTTCAGGCATTTCTCCTGCCTCAGCCTCCTGAGTAGCTGGGATTACAGGCATGTGCCAGCATGCCCAGCTAATTTTTTGTATTTTTAGTAGAGATGGGGTTTCACCATGTTGACCAGGATGGTCTCGATCTCTTGACCTCGTGATCCACCTACCTCAGCCTCCCAAAGTGCTGGGATTACAGGCATGAGCCACCGCGCCCGGCGATTAATGCTTTTTTGTGTTCTATTTAGGAAATGCTTTTGTCCCCCAAATTAATGAGGATGTTCTTCTATATTGTTTTCTAGAAGCTTGATTGATTTAACTCTTATTATAGCCCATATTGAATTAAGTTTTACATATGGTGTGAGGTAGTGTCAGTATTTCTTTCTTTCTATGTGGACATCTGGTTGATTCAGCACCTTTTATTAAAGATATTATATTACAATAAAGCATTAGTAATAAATCAGGCGCTTGTATATACAAGTATGGATGCTTCTCTCTGTTACGCTCATCTATTTACCTATCCTTAAGCCAGCATCACAGTTGTTAATTTAGAGAAGATAATAAAGTATATGATTTGTAGCAGGCAGATTTATAATAACTGAAGTTTGTTTTATTTTTTAAAATATTGCATTGGCTATTCTGGGTTCCTTGTTTTTCTAGGAAAATTTGAGAATGAGCTTGTCAATTGCTACAAAAGAACCTGCTGGTATTTTCATTGACATTGCATTAAATCCATAAATCAGCTTGACAAGAATAGACACCTTAGCAATATTGAGACTTTCCATCACTGATTATAGCATATATTCCCTACATTTATTACTATTTTATTGATTTTTTTCTCAGTAATATTTTGTAGTTTTCTGTATCTTGTATACCTTAGTCAGATTTATTCTAGATATCTGATATATTCCTGATGCCACATGCACCGAATGTTTAGTTTCTCTCTCATTACTTATTTTACCATTCCTATGTGATAAAACATTCAACTTGTTTCAGAATTTTTATTTTCTGATTAATGTCATGTTATAGTTGTGGAGCTGCAAAGTTAGAGGTTCCTGGGGAGCCTCTTACTAAAACGTACCCTCGACTGCCGCTAAAAGCAAGCGATGGAAGGTACGAATATACATTTCAAGGGAGGGTGAGACTCAGGATTATGGAGACATCTGGGCTTATCTTTCCTCTGGGGATATTTATTTTCATTCCATAAAGTAAAAGTAAGAACCCAGGATGCTTACCAAAGAAACTCTCAGGAGAGGCGAAATAGCTGCATCTCCTGTAATAAAAACTAGGATTATTTTTCATGGTTCCTCCCCTACAATCCCCTTTATGTATAGGATGTGTTTGGCTCTCATTTTGTCGCACTAGATGTAAGAATTGAGGCACAAGGGAACCCTACAATTATGTGTAGTAAGTAAATAATATTCTTAGCTCCAGAAAACCTTGTTTGTGCATTCAGGTTAGTATTAATGAATATGGATATCAAAAACTTAGTAATAGGGTTTTTCTGGTTTGTTTATTTAGATGGAGTCTCACCCTGTCACCCAGGCTGGAGTGCAGTGGTGCTATCTCGCTCGGCTCACGGCAGCCTCTGACTCCCGGGTACAAGCAATTCTCCTGCCTCAGCCTCCCGAGTAGCTGCAATTACAGGTGCACACCACCATGCCCAGCTAATTTTTATGTATCTTTAGTAGAAATGAAATTTCACCATGTTGGCCATGCTGGTCTTAAACTCCTGACCTCGTGATCCACCTGCCTTGGCCTCCCAAAGTGCTGGGATTACAGGCGTGAGCCACCGAGCCTGGCCCAGAATAGGGTTTTTCCGTGAGGATAAAGTATTTGTCTGGTTTCGATTGTCACGGTGTATTCCCTGACACCCCTTAGCACAGAGTAGGAATTCAGTAAATGTAAGTTACGTGAGGCATCAGTTACCTATTTCTGTGAACCAACTATCCTGAAATGTAGCATCTGAAAACATAAACCTTTACGATCTCATTGTTTCTATGGGTCAGGAATCTAGGGACAGCTTTGCTGGGTGGTTCTGGCTCAGGTTGTCTTATGAAGCCCCAGGGTTTCTGGGGGCTGAAGTTATCTGAGGACTGACTGAGCCTGAAAGAAGCACCTCTATATTCACTTATGCGGCCCTTGACCAAGGCTTCAGTGGGCCTCTCCATAAAGTTATTTGTGACGAGGCAGCTGGCTTTCCCAGGAGAAAGTTATGAGGGGGAGAAAGAGAGCACACTGTTTTGACTTAATCTCCAAGTTATACGCATACCACTATTTCTGCTTTATTCTTTTGATTAAAAGCATGCCATTAAGTTCAGCCCACATTCGATAGGAGGAGATTCCGTGATTACACAAAAGCATGATTACTGGGAAGAGGGATCACTGGGGCTTTTTTAGAGGCTGACTCCTACACATCAATAAGTGGGGTACAAGACGTGATATTATTTACCTATTTGACTAAATATGTACCTCACGCTTCAGCTCTGAAATCTGGAATGAGTAGAATTTACATAGGCATGGAAAAGAACAAAAAGGTTCCCACTAGAAGAAACACCGTGTGCCAAATAACAGAACATAAAAGGGTATGTTCTCTGCGGGGAATTGTAAGTAGGTCTCTGATGGAACACAGGATACTGAATAGCACTCCACCATGAGAGGACGTGGATAGTCTGAGCCTCATAGATTCTAAGCCCCTCACCGCCTTTGAATGCAAATCTATGAGACTTTTCATCACCTGGTGGCCAGAACATTACCACTTCGACAGTATAAATAGCATTGACCAGTCTTTGAATCAGGTACTAGTTTGAAAATACTCTGGTTATTAAAGAGTTAGAGAACTAAAGAGCCCAACTGAGTCAAAACATCCTGTGACATCCTAGGAAGCGCAGCATTAAATTTCAGAATTCGTTATTACAGTAAAAGGAGGTCAATCAATAAGTGTTCAGAAGTTGCGCAGAGTGTTTCCCACACAGAGACTCAACTATCGGGCCGACAGCCCAGGTGTTTGCCGGCCTCTGCCCACAACATCTAAGCTCTGCCCATGACATCTAACCTCTTCCCATGACATCTAACCCATGACATCTAACCTCTGCCCATGACATCTAACTTCTGCCCATGACATCTAACCCATGACATCTAACCTCTGCCCATGACATCTAACCCATGACATCTAACCTCTGCCCATGACATCTAACCCATGACATCTAACCTCTGCTCATGACATCTAACCCATGACATCTAACCTCTGCCCATGACATCTAACACAAGGAAATGCACTTCAAGGGGCGTTTTTCTCAGTGCTGACTCCCTCTTACTGCTGGGTTTTCAACTTCGTTACCCTAATGCCTTTGCTTTTGTTCTCAATCCTATATTCTAAACTATCAATTTCTGTTGTGAGATCTTTTGGATGCGAAAACACATTTAATAAATCTACAGTTCCTGCGTATCATTCTTGGCTTTTCCTGGCTCAAGTTCCTTCTAGACAAAACTGCAGTCCTGATTTCAGCAGCTTTCTCTGTTTAGGTCCCCAGGAGTTGGAGGTAGAACTTATCTTCCTTTCTCCATGGGAATCCAGGAACTCTGAAGAGGATAACAATGGCTTCCATGGTGCGTGTGTGTGTGTGCGCGCGTATGTGTGCGCGTGTGTGTGCGTGTGTGTGCGCGTGTGTGTGCGCGTGCGTGTGCGTGTGTGTGTGCGCGCGCGCGCACGTGCAAGCATGACTTTCTACTTTTTATGGATATCATCTACCCAGTTGACGTCTTCAGTCCTTGGGAATCACTCAGCAAGTTAAGTGTCAAAGGCAATGTCACCAAAAACTTCATTTAGTGTCACGACTCCGGCAGCTCCACTCTTGAATGATGAACCTTTACAAAGGCACTCTCAGCGTTTTCCAAAGAGAAAAGAGAAATGGAAAAATCTCAGCTGTGCCTGCCTAGAGGACTGTGAAGTCCAGGGCTAGACCGTAACATTGACTTGTGGCTACTGTGTGCTGGGCATTGCGCTGGGTGCATGGGGAAGGTAACAATGCCTTCCCTCAAGGAAAGTGAGGTCCAGGAGAAGACTAGGCATCGATGAAATAATCACACATACAAACATAGAAAGTCACATAGCCACAAATCATACAAAGACAAATGCCCCTGTAGGAATGCAGAACTCTGCACATTACTGCAGCCTCTCAAAATACATGAAAACCATGTGTGTGTGTTCACGTAGACAGGTGTGAGCATGTGTGCTCATATGAAGTTGTACTGGGCCAGGCATCAGAATAAAAACATGAATAATTCAAAGATTGTCTAAGAGACAAGAACCTGGGGCCTGCTTCCTCTTTCTGCCACTTCTTTGAGTCCTCCTCCGTGGTGTGAATAGAAATGCTGGAACCAGAAGCTGACTCAGAATTTCTTCGCTTGGGCTTGGCATGGGCTTGTAACGAAAGTGAAATTAGGAGTAGAGGACACAGAAGTAGGTTTGCTCCTCATCAATCTCAACTTCCCAGTGTACAGGCAATAATAAAGTTATGGTGAAGGAAGTTTATAATAAAATTACTTCTCAAAACAGGTATGTTTGCTAAATAACATGCCATTGACCTTGTTTTGTTGAATTCAATTAAGTGATATTAAGTCATGTGCTGCAGGCAGGGCCCTGTTTTAGACATTCCTGTTGCAGATGCCGAGGTTCACAACCATTCTCTGCCCTAAAGGAGCAATGATTTGAAACAGAACTGGCATCAGAACAAATTACTGTAAAGAACAATTCACCCCTACCAGTTAGTTTTTAATAAATGTGTTTATCAAGTTTTCAATGGGGCCAAGTGGAAAGGCAGTGCCTTCTGGGCAGCGTCCTGCACATAATGGAGGACATAATTTCATAATGAGCTAATAATAAATACGTACGTGCTAAGCGACCGCGCAGTTCATTTTAAAGACTCATTAAGTAGAAGATTTGACTGTGTCTCCGAAATGAGTGTGTGCACAGACTGTTTCAAAACGAAGTGGCGGGGAAGGCCTGGGATTGCATTGCGTGATCAACTCTTCCTGGAAAAGGCACAGAATCTGTAACACGTGTTTTGTCACTATTGCTTTACTCTTTACACAGTGATAAAATTATTAATTTTCTATTTTTTTTAACTAAACAGAAACTTCTGTTTAGGACAGAGTACATGGAAATGTTCGAGAAACTGATTTCTGCATAAGTATATGTGGCTGTGTCTAGAGCAAGAAGATGGGGGATATCACCAGGGGCTCCATGTTCATTGTGAAGAAGCCTCAAGGCATTGTGCCTTATGATTTAAATCCTACAGATAACATATTTCACAAATTATAATTTTGAAAATTAAGTGTACACATTTCTGTTCAAACATACATTACTTTAGTTGTTCTAAGCTCATACCTTTATACCATTGTGCATATGTGTACTTGCAAATTTGAAACCAAGTAGTATTTCAAGGATACAAACTAATCACAAGCTGCATCTAGAGGGCTTCTGCTGCAGGGAGGGCTTCCTGGGAACTTAGTGAGCATGATGTTTCTTAGGGAGTGCCCTTAGTATCCACTCCTGTGGAAGGGTGGGGACAGAGGCCAGGAGGGAGAAGTGAGCTGCAGTGCAGACCAAATGAGCCTCAGATGACCTCACTGGAAGCTCTGAGGTCAAGTAGCTCGTCAGTTATTTCTGAGTCGTGTCAAAGCCTTGGTCATTGGGTGCAGACTACCTGAAGAAGGGATTTGACCTTGGGTAAGGGAGTTGTGTGCAGCCAGCTGAGGCAATCCCAGGGAAGCCTAACAGTGGAAACCTGTCAGCTGACAGCACGCCCAACAGGTGGGGGAACAAGTCCTTGAAGTGGGATCTAGGCCATGTATCACAGTGTCCACGGAAGAGCAGAGGCAGAGCTGGCTAAACAGCAATGAACCCCTGAAGCTTTTCTCATGATTTAGCAGATCGGATCCCACTACGGCTTACTGGTAATGCCATAGCCAAAACAGGCGTCTCTCATGCAAGGCCTCTTCTTCTTGTCTATTGAGAAGCATCATACAATCTTGGAAATCTTCAAACACAAATCCAATTCAGGGGAGCGCCATAAAAGCAGCAAACCCGCGCCAAGCATGATGTAACTACAGTGTTGTACAAGGCCTGGCTCATGCATTGTGATCAAAACACGGATTTACTTTTGTCCTTCTCCAACCCTTCCCAGAGTCTCCTCATAGCTCCAGAAAAAAGTTCTACATTTATACCACATTGTCTCTTCCCTCCTCCCAAGGGTCTGTCTCCTGACCAGGCAGTGCTCTCTCACACACAAGGGTGCAGTGAATCTTGGTCCACACTCAGCTTTCGTTTTCTTAGGCAAGAATTGGGCCTCAATCTTCTGAGGTTGCTCCTGAGAACCTGTTTCAAAGTTCTCCAAGTGCCTTTTCTAAAACTCCCCCGCTAGGCTTGGAGCTGAACCAGAGCACGCATGGCACAGCACAGCAAGGCCTTCGCTTTCTTCAAAGAAGTCTCCACAAGTCTCCTCCCAAAGTTCTCCCTGGGACTGATATTCTCTGGTCTGGCTGAGGCAGCTAAGAGTTGAGTTGTAGAAAGGGGTCTTAAAACTTTTTGTTTCGGGTATGTGAATATATGCGGTGGGGGCCTGTATTCTGACTTCGATATCTTGATATCTTGGTATCTTATGAAGCAGGCAGGGGCCCCAGTAACACCTCCTTCTACATTATAATGGGCGAAGTTGCCGGTGGAATCTGGTGGTCAATGAAGAGCTGCTGGATAAGCTGACAGCCTATGTGCAGATCCAGCTACTACATTTGGAGTTCCTCCATTTCAATCTCCTTTCCAAGTGCATGAAGTTCTTGGTTTCCATGCCGGCCAAGTATCTTCTAAAAAATAATTCAGGCCGGACGCAGTGGGGCGGCTCACGCCTGTAATCGCAGCACTTTGGGAGGCCGAGGCGGGTAAATCATGAGGTCAAGAGATCAAGACCATCCTGGCCAACATGGCGAAACCCCATCTCTACTAAAAATACAAAAATTAGCTGGGCGTGATGGCATATGCCTGTATTTCCAGCTACTTGGGAGGCTGAGGCAGGAGAATGGCTTGAACCCGGGAGGCAGAGAGGTTGCGGTGAGCTGAGATCACGCCACTGCACTCCAGCCTGGCAACGGAGTGGGACTCTGTCTCAAAAAAAAAAAAAAATTCAATTAAGTTAACATAAATAATAAGATAAAATAATTGAATTTTTTCAAAAAAGAAAATTGTTATTTTAGACGTAAAGATTCTTTAAGCTCAAAGGTACGTTATAGAACACCTAATTATCCATCTTTATTTTATAAATGAAGAAATTGATTTCCCAAAAAGTTTTCAAATAGTCACTCTTTATTCAAAATATTATTTAGTGTGTACTCTTTGCCAAGTGTGATATTGTGATATAAGAAGAAATATTTCACATACAAGTCAGATCCTGCAATATTTTTCTTTCTCTGGCTTATTTTATTTAGCATAATGTCCTCCAGGTCCGTTCATGCTGTGCAAATGAAAGGCTCTCTTTCCTTTTAAAGGCTGCATAATATTAGATTGTATGTAATATACAGGACATTTTCTTTATTTGTTTCTTCATCGGTGGGCATTTAGGTTGTTTCCACATTTTGGCTATTGTGAATAACACTGTAATGGACATAGGACTGCAGGTATCTTTACAAGGCGGTGATCCGGTCTCCTTTAGGCATGTGTACGGAAGAGAGATTGCTGGAACTTTCGTCACATAAGTAGATTTTTTTTTTTTTTTGAGGCGGAGTTTCGCTCTTGTTACCCAGGCTGGAGTGCAATGGCGCGATCTCGGCTCACCGCAACCTCCGACCCCTGGGTTCAGGCAATTCTTCTGCCTCAGCCTCCTGAGTAGCTGGGATTACAGGCACGCGCCATCGTGCCCAGTTAATTTTTTGTAATTTTTTAGTAGAGATGGGGTTTCACCATGTTGACCAGGATCGTCTCGATCTGTTGACCTCGTGATCCACCCGCCTCGACCTCCCAAAGTGACATAAGTAGATTTTAGCTGTTCTTGCCATACACACAAAAGTAACTGTATCAGATAATATGTTAATCTGCTTCACTATAGCACCACTTTACCATCTATATGCATCCCATAACATCATGTTGTAGCCCTCAAATATATAAAATAAAATTTATTTTAAAAATGAAATGATAATCAAGAGGTAAAAATAAATGTTTGTGTGTTTTTTGGTTTTGGTCCTCAGCTCCTAGCCTGATCTCCTAAAACCCTTGTAACTTCCTAAGTGATAAGAGTGATAGGAATATCTTTTGTTACAATATTTGTTTTGTTTTGGGTGTTTTGGTTTTTTTTTTTTTTTACCTCCAGTTTCTGAAATAGCTTGGGGAGATAAAGGTGAACGAATAATCTCTATTGTTCATAACAAGCTCCTTTTGCCTACAATCCCAGCACTCTGGGAGGCTGAGGCACGTAGATCATGAGGTCAGGAGTTTGAGACTAGCCTGACCAACATGATAAAACCCCATCTTCACTGAAAACACAAAAATTAACCAAGCATAGTGGCGCATACCTGTAATCCCAGCTACTCGGGCAGTGGAGGCAGGAGAATGACCTGAACCCAAGTGATGGACGTTGCAGTGAGCCAAGATTGCACCACTGCAGTTCAATCTGGGTGACAGAGCAAGACTCTGCCACAAAAAAAAAAAAAAAAAAGAAAGAAAGAAAAAGAAAAAGAAAAAAAAACAAGCTCCTTTCAACCACATCTAAGTTTATGTTCATCAGGTGGCATTTGAAAAGCCCCTAAGCATGAGACAGTGGGGACGGGGTGGTTGCCAGGAGAACCAACCATAATTAAAGGCTTGGAAATTTCAGTGACACTCCCTGAACTCTGGGGGGAGGGAAAGATGTTGAAGGCTGAGCCGATCACTAATGGGCAATGATTTAATCAATCATGCCTATGTGATAGATCCTCCGTAAACATGCTAACCAAAGGGGTTCAGAGAACTTCCAGGTTGGTGAACTAGAATGCATCTATTTGTGAAGACAGAGAGAAGCTCCTGAGCACAGAATCCTTTTGAGCCTCACCCTTTGCATCTCTTCATCTGGCTGTTCATTTGTGTCCTTTAAAATTTTCTGTTTAATAAGTCAGTAATGATGTATAAAGTTACCTTGAATTCTGTGAGCTATTCTAGCAAATTATCAAACATGAGGAGGAAGTGCTGGGAACCTCTGATTTGTAGCTATGTCAGATAGAAGTTTGTGGCAACCTGGGGACTCACTACTTGCGACTGGCATCTGAGGTGAGGGGCAGTCTGCTGGCACTGAGCCCTTAACCTGTGGAGTCTGGGCTAACTCTGGGCAGTTAGCGTTAGAATTGAGTTAAACACCAGGACATCCAGTCAGGGTCACCAAGACTTGTGGAATAGGTTGGTGTGGGAATAAAACCAAACATTTGTTGTCAAAAGTTTGAGAAAGTATAGAGAAACAGAGTTTTTTCTTTTTACAAGTTATTACCAAAATGCTTGTGCTATAACAGCGTAGAAGGGACCCCCTGCTCTTCAAAGAATGTATTGTTTAGTGAAAACAACAGTCACATAAATAAGCTATCAGAAAATAAGTAATCAGAAAGTTCTTGCCTGAATCTGTATAAGAACCTGGATTTCTTAGCTGGGTGCAGTGGCTCACACCTGTAATCCCAGCACTTTGGGAGGCCGAGGCGGATGGATCACCTGAGGTCAGGAGTTTGAGACCAGCCTAGCCAGCGTGGTGGAACTCTGTCTCTACTAAAAATATAAAAAACTAGCTGAGTGTGGTGACACGAACCTGTAATCCCAGCTATTTGGGAGGCCAAGGCAGGAAAATCCCTTGAACCCAGGAGGTGGAGGTTGCAGTGAGCCAAGATTGTGCCACTACACTCCAGCCCGAGTGACACAGCAAGACTTCATCTCAGAAAAAAAAAAAAGAACATGGATGTCTTATTAACCCAGGGACCTCCCCCAGCCAACTTGCTGGGATGACTGGGAGGCATTTTAGAATGCACTCTTTACTGGGTAAGGGCTTTGAAACTCTTTGAGGATGCTGATTAATTACCTCCAAGCCTGTAATTTTGATAATCCTGAGGAGCAAGCTCTGATTTTTTCTTGCCCATATTCCTACCTAAGGGGTCTAGGGAGTCAGGCCCTGCAAACCATAAATTCTCATCAGATGGGTTTTATTTGACTCTATATATCATAACTTACTTTTTACTCTGACTCTGGCATAATATTATGAGACAAGGAAAAATATTTAACCCCAAAATAGATTTCCTTGACATTCCCTAAAATTGCCCTACAAAGCCTCTTTTGGGAAAAATCTACATTCTATAGAGAATCCCGTTCCCCTTTGTTTTCCTTCCTTCCCTTCTTTGTGGATTCAGGAGATAAGCAACCAAGAGCCAGGCACCCTTTTGGGTCTAATAAGAAACAGTTTGCAATCCTCTCTCTCTCTCTCTCTCTCTCTCTCTCTCTCTCTCTCTCTTTCTCTCTCTCAGGACTGCTATATGGGAGATTCCTCTGCAAGTAAAACTTGGTCCCCACAATCCGTTATCTTAACCTGAACATTCCTTTCCATTGATCCCAGGTCTTCAGATAAATTCAACCAGTTGTCAACCAGAAAATCTTTAAATTTACCTACAGCCTGGAAGTCCCTGCTTTGAGCTGTCCCACCTTTCCGAACCAAATCAATGTATTTCTGAAATGTATTTGATTGATGTCTCATGCCTTCCTAAAATATATAAAACCAAGCTGTACCCCGACCACTTTGGGCACATGTTCTCAGGACCTCCTGAGGGCTGTGTGATGGGCCATGGTCACGCATATTTGGTTCAGAATAAATCTCTTAAAATATTTTACAGAGTTTGACTCTTTTCATCAATAGTCTTTAGTTTCAAGATGTCAACTCTTGGTATTTGATCGAAATGTCCAATTAAGGAAAGCCACCTTCATTTCAGGACTTAATTCTTAGCTGAATGCCACCTTCCAGCAGACATTAAATAGAAAGCTCTTAACACTGTATACTAGCGAGAAAAGCACTACTACAGATGAAGTGCTTACCTCAGATCCTGAAAATGTTTTCTATTTAAGATCTATTTTGAACTTCTCAGAAAATACAAATCAGCAGATTTCTACATATTGTTATTATTTTTCAAGGCATCTGGGGAGGACTTTGTTAAAATCTCTGTTTCCCTTTGTATTGTTAATATTAACTGAAACTCATTTTCAGTAGTGTCAGTCATGAATATGTGTTAGATGAATGCATATAAGTCAATAGAACTGTGTTCAACATGCGTTTTCTCAGTCATTCCCTGCATTGGATGTTGTATAAAACAGTATTTTCAGCTGATTGTACACAACATATACTGAGTTGATGAAGTTGAGTGGTATTTGCTCTTTCTTTTTCACAAGGGACTTATTTCAGCTAGACAGTGAGGGGAAAACTATATGTATCTATGCAAAATCACCCGCATTTACCCTTTGAAACAGATTGTTTCAGGGACTCTGGCTCCATCTGGGAATATATCCGTATATTTGGAACTATGCGCCTTGGAATGCATGGCCTTCTGTCCCTGCTTTTCTGGGAGCCCCTGATCTGAAGGGACTGGCTTAGTTCAAGTGCAAGCTCGGTGACATGCACTTGGGGGAAGGGAGGAGTCAGTAGAAACTTCTTGACAATGACAACATGTTGAAATTTGAAAAACGGATTTAGAAGCACCAAAGTACCTGGCCTCCTCTCTTAGTGAAAGTGGATTGCCACAGATGATAATATTCAGTTATATTTTAGTTAAAATACTACCTATTTAATTATTAATAAATAGTAAGAAATGTGATTAAAATATGCCAGGTTGATAATATATTATTGGTTTATGTTTTATTAATAATTTATAAAAATGGATGAATACATCATCTCAAAAATATCAATTCCAGACACAAGAGGTTTCTTTATTCACCTTTGGGTGATTCAATGTTTAAAAATAGAAAGCTAAAGAAACCAAGAGGACAGAAGACTTTTATCACCCTCTAAGTTTAGGGCTTTGAATGATAAGGACTTTATGTGTCACAAAACAATACAATTTCACCAACAGAGTGCTAACGTGAAATTACCACTTATTTGGGGTCCCTGAGATGGCAACTTACATTTTCACTTTGTTTTATTTTATCTATTTGCCGGGAGCAAGTTTTGTCCTCCGAGGGAATACAAAACTTGCCTTCACGCTGTGACGAGAACTGTGAATAGCCCTGCCTAGAAAAACTAATCTTATCCACAAAGTTTACTGGGCAGGCATCTGTCTTATTACATTAACTATGGCTAGACAGAAAAGCTCCAGTCTAACATGTGTAAACACCATCTGACAAAGGCCTTTGGGCCCTCCTCTCTCACTAACACCCTAGGAGGGATTATCCACCACAGTTAAGATGCTGATTTCTTGATGATGGAATGGGAGTTTAAAGAAATATGAAGGCCAATAGGAGGAAGCAGCCCGCAGATGAAGAGAAATCTATTTCCATTAACATTTGCTAGGGCCAGGCTTTCAGGGAAGAAACTGAATTTTAAATAATTTCTCTGCTGATCAGTACCCATCGTCAGCTGTAACAGAGAAAAGATGAATATGGGAAAAAGATAAAAAAAAAAAAGAATTTAAAAGATGCAAAGGCAAACCATCAATACTGAACTTTAAAGATGCTACAAACCAGCAATTGTGTGAGGAGCTTCTAAGAGCTGCGGTTTCCTCTCTGACTCTGGAGAGAAGAACAGTTTGGGAGAGATCAGAGTGTTTTCTCATTTAAAAATGATGTAGCAGTTGCTAACTCTAAACTCTTGCTGGGAAGATAATGATGCTCATTTGCCTCGGAACCAGACAAAGTGAGATAGGACTCCGACAGGAGGACCCCACAGATCCCATGCTGCTCTAGGTAATATTACAATCCCTACATTCTCTTAAATTTCATTTTACACTTTAAACACAGATGCCATTGAACATCTTGTCTATTCAGAGCTCACTGTTTTTCTGACTCCTTATCAAACAGCAGAGTTAATGGATTTTGCAAATCAACTGCATTACACGGCAAAAAGATTCCTGAAGTTAGAACCATAATTAGGCTTGGGTGATTGCTATTGATTATCTTTGTAACCTTTTGTCATTCATATAAACTCACTAAGCCACACATAATATGGTGAATATCCTTATCCACATTACGAATTTTTTTAAAAGAACATTGACTTGGAGCAGAATACTTAATAAGCTAAATATATTATGTTATAAAAGTTGGGTCCTCCCTAGCTACAATTTAGGCCTAGAATGTAAGGGGGTCATCAGTCATTGACTCCGTCCTAGAGTGTGGGACAACACTGGGAACATCAATCCATCCAAGTGTCCAAAAATAACAGAAATCCCCACTTTCAAGAGACTCCTTAGAATGAAAAACATCACATAGAATCGCATCGGCACCATTGAGGGGGAATTTTTCCTGCACATCCTCTTTTGAACAAATTGAATAATAAAAAGTAAGGCAGATGGGAAATCAAAACATCATCTTTGTAACTGGAAGTGAAATTGGGAGCTCATAGTTGAGTGAGAGAGCCCGATATATCTGCCAGCCGAACCCACAAATTAGAAACACTTACACATCCAATTAAAAGAGCTCTAAGGTAGTTCTTTTGCCCTTTCACCCTTCATGGGCAGCACATATCCCAGGAAGGGCAGAGCAGAATGCCTGTTCCCTGCAAATGGCTTGCTTTCAAGGAAGGGCAAAACTGGACTGTGTATGCTCAGTGTAATTCTCCATAACTAACCAATAGAACAAATCACCACACCACTGCCACCTTGGGGTGAAATGAGTAAATGACGACAGAAGCCCGGAGTCAGCATATTGTCCCACCATCTAAGATAGATTAGGAGTCATTGAACTGTGTTCCCAGCAGAGGAAAGAAACATCAAGAGTAGTTGAAGATACTTCGCTCAGAACAATTCCCATTTTGATCCCTTGACTCCTTGGGCTTAACTCTCAATCCGCCACGGAGAAGGTACCAGCAATCTTTCAGGATATTTTTGTTCCCATCTTCAGGCCATTTTCTCAATAAAACGATTGTTTCTCCAATAATAAGATTTATGGGCATATGTCAGCAATAAAATTCAACGACAGTGACACTTTAGTCTGCTAGGACTACCATAGCAAAGTACTGTGGAGTTTGTGGCTTACACAACAGAATTTTATTTTCTCACAATTCTGGAGGCCAGAGTTCAGAAATCAAAGTGTTAACAGGTTTGATTTCATAGGCGGTCTCTCTATGGCTTGCAAATGGCTGTCTCCTTGTGTCTTCATAGGTCCTTCCCTCTGTGCCTGTCTATTCTAATCTTCTCTTCTTATAAAAGAAAACAGTCATATTGGATGGAGCCCAACCTAATGACCTCATAAACTTAGTTATCTCCTTAAGGACCTTATTTCCAAATACAGTCCATTCTGAGGTACTGGGAGTTACCGCTTCTACAAATTAATGGGAAGGGTAGAGGTGGTATACAGGTTCCCCTGTAATGGCTGAAGTGCCTCCATTTTTTTTTTTTTTTTTTTGAGATGGAGTTTTGCTCTTGTTACCCAGGCTGGAGTGTAATGGTGCGATCTCAGCTCGCTGCAGCCTCCGCATCCTGGGTTCAGGCAATTCTCCGGCCTCAGCCTCCCGAGTAGCTGGGATTACAGGCATGCGCCACCATGCCCAGCTAATTTTCTGTATTTTTAGTAGAGACGGGATTTCACCTTGTTGACCAGGATGGTCTCAATCTCTTAACATTGTGACCCATCCACCTCGGCCTCCCAAAGTGCCTGGATTACAGGCTTGAGCCAGTGCGCCAGGCCGTGCCTCCAGTTTTAATATAAACCCCTCTTTCAGTCTCAAATTTCCAAGGATAATTTATTGTTAAATCCCATTGCAAGATGAATTCCAAAGACTTTGCAGTCCAAAATTAATTTATCTTGCCCTCTGAACTTAGAAGTGTAATAAAGTTCTTGAGGAATTAAAAGTTGAAAAGTATTCTCTAATTTCTTTTTATTATGATGATTTGTATAAATCTGAGGGGCACGTGTGCAGTTTTGTTCCATTACATAGTGGTGAAGTCTGGGCTTTCAGGGTATCCATCACCCAAGTAATATACATTGTACCCTTTCGGTAATTTCTCATCCCTCACCTTGCTCTAACCCTCTCATCCTTGCAAGCCTCCAGTGTCCATTATTTCACACTCTATGTGTGCACGTTATTTAGCTCCCACTCACAGTGAGAACAGGCAGTATCTGACTTTCTAAGTTTTTTCACCTGAGATAAGTGTTAGAAGCAGTGACTTCATATGGGTCTACCGCTACCTCAATTCTTGCCTCCTCAGAAGAAATATGACCGAGGGGCATAAAGCAGAGTGAGAGACCCAGTCGGGTTTGAGGGCAGAAGGGAGAGTTTATTAAAGAGCTTTAGGGCACAAATGAAACCAGGTACACATGGAAGAGGGCAACTGAGAGATCAGGTATGCAGTTTGACCGTGGACTTGCGGTTGTATATGCTGGCATTCTTCTGGGGTCTAGGTTACTTCTCCCCTGATTTTTCCCGTGGGGTGGTCTGTCCACATGTGCAGTGGCCTGCTAGCTCTTGAGAGGAGCTGCATACACAGTACGTTTACCGGAGTTGTATGCGTGCGCGCTGGAGGCGGCCTTCCCTTACCAGGCGAATGTTTCTAGACGGTCAGAAACTCCACTATTTTGTCTCTTCGTATGCATTCTTGAGCGTACTTGATCAACTCCTGAGATCTTGTTGGGAAGCTGCAAAGCACTAATTTCAGGTGTTTTGATCTATTGTGAAAACTGCCTTTCCCTGGTGGTGGCTGCAATCAATTATTATTTTAGAGAGTTAACAATCACCTGACTATTAACTGATGGTCCCCTGACATTTCCAGGGGGCAACGGGAGTAGCTTCTCCTGCCCCGCCCATGTCTGCCTGACTACCTACTTAACATTTCCCTTCTCAAGAGTCCAAGACCTTAATTCTCTGGGAAAATGGCTGAAGGCCATTCTTCTGTACCTGCTTCCTGCTGACAGAGAGGCAGCAGTGATTGTTCTGTGGGCCTTGGTCTCTTGGCTCTCAGGGCAGGATGCCTCCATGGGTTGGTGAAAGCAATATCCAGCCAGGTCCAAGGGAGATAGGGCAGGATTTCACTTCTGTTGTGTCCCACTGATGGGCAGTCTAGGGGTCACCTGTAAAAGGGTGACTCTTGAATATTGAGCCAATAGTATTCCTCACTGAGGATCATGTGGAGCATTATGACCTGAAGGTGAGAGGAGACAAATCAGGTTATTAGATAGAGAAGAATGTTGAAACAAAATAAGAAGGTAAGGATGGCTCCAAAAAATCCTGAGGCTGCTGACATGCCTAGGTAGTGAGTGGCTGTAGTCATGCCTGCCAAGACTTGGGTACATGGGCTTACTAGCCAATGCCAGTATATGCCCAGAATTAGAATACTGATCCAGATTTTTCCATGATCCACCCATCTTGTTTTTTCTGAGGCGCAGTCAGAAATCATTGGTTGGTTCACAGGAATAATCAGTGTTAAATTCCAGACAAAAACGCAAAAGCAACTGATGACAGTGAGAGTAGAATCTAATAAGAGGAGTATCATTTCTCTCTCTCCAGTCCTCATTTTGATTTTAAAAAATCATGATAAGATGGATTTTTTGCAAGCTAGTCTTTAGTCTTATTATATTTGGTCTGATTATTTGCATAAACAATAGCAAAAGGAATTATTAGCCATACAGGCTCCGTTTTAAGTTTGCTTTGGTGGAATTTTGTTGCATAAGGAATCTGAGAGAAGGCTTTCCAAAGCCCTAAGCCCAGCCATGCGTTTGTTTCATCAAATACCTGTATGAGTTGGGAAATTCCTCTCTTCCCACGGTCCCTGGATAACTTGGGACTCCTGGGCCTGTCAGAAAGTAACATTCTTTACTTACCACAGGTCAGGAATCCTGTACAGGGACTGTGTAGACAGGTATGAGGCCTGTTTTCCCAAGGGTTTTTTTTATTGACTCCATTAGTCAAATTCGATTCCTTAAAGGAAAGCATGCAATTTCAGTCAAAGCCTTAGTAAAATAACCAGTTTCTTCAATTGTGTCCTATTACAAAAGAAAAGCAATTTTTGTTGCACTTACACAAAGAACTGTATGGCTATAAGTCAAGAATACTCACAAGTAGTTTCTAAATTTTAGAAAAATCAGGTAGAGAGAAATATGCTTCAAATTTTGCTTATAGCAGTGTATTTTACTCAATTATTAAAAGCTGTAAATAGCTTAAAAGAAATATTTCCTTGGCTTCCAAAAAGAAAAGGTTAGCAACATTTTAACCAAAAAGTAATAAAAAGATTATTTTAGTCTTCTATTAATTTAGTCCATGCAGTTAACTTCTGTTCTGCTTAATATTCATGAATATTTTAGGTCTTCCTGAGAATCTTCAAAGTTTTTCCTCTATTGTAATGTTATAATCTTCCAATGTTATCAGAAACCTGCATTTAACAGCACATGTTACATTCCTATAGCTGATTACAAAACCACCTTTTAAAGAGGGTTACAAGACAACAAATGTCTGTGGATGAGAAAAAGTCTTAGGGCAGCCACAGTCAAAAACACAATGACAAGGAAATTTGGTATCTCTGTGGCACACAATAATTTAGCCTTACAATTGTAATCATTACTGATAATATTCTAATATTCATATCAGAATTATAGGAGTTTTGCATAATTTTAGAACACAAACCAATAACACGTTCATACAATCAGCCCAAAGAAAGCCAAATTTTACCATTGCCTTAGTGCACAACTAAGGTAAAACCCAATTCTTAATAAAATCTTATAGAAGAATCTATTCAATTTTAGTCTGACCACAAGGTAAGATCACCAAAACCTTTATAACCCATTACAATTTTCTGTTAAAGAGAAGAACAATGTTCTAAGCAAACCATGTTGTGTTTATCCAGAGCTCGATTTATGAATAGACTGAACAATAGCCCTTTAATTTTAGCCAACATGTTTATATACAGAATTTCTTTTATAAGATTAATCTTTCACAAACTTTCTAAAACTAGCTTAAACCTTCAACTTTATCTTATTTAACTTAATCCTTTAACTCTCTAAACTAGGCAGAAAAAAATTACATTTTCACGTCTTTTTATAATCTTTTACCAAAGGCACATTCTACTTTTACATGCTTTGCCTGTAAAACTGTTTTTCCAGTAGTCTCAAGTACATGTTATGCTGTTTACTTGTGGCAAAAACCCTAGTAAGTAAGTGATTTTAGCTGTGTACCAGGTGTGGAGCCTAGGACACCAGATAGAATGTAGATAAGGTCTGACTGTTTCTAGCATAGCTAGGACCATGGCTAATTCTGTATGTCCCCAGGCTTTGCCTTAAATTTAATGACTTTAAGGCAGGATAGTGGTACAGTTAAGAATCATAGTAGCAGTTTATGAAGCATGTAGCAGACTGACTAACCTTTAAAATTGCATAACATTTTAAGATAAATTCTCTTTCAGGAGGAGATCCAAGATGGTTGAACAGGAACAGCTCTGGAGTGCAGTTCCCAGGGAGAACAATGCAGAGGATGAGTGATCACTGCATTTCCAAATGAGCTTTTGCTGCCCGCAGACCAGGATATTCCTGGGCCGAAAAGTGCCATGAGTTTCCAGCATGGCTGTTTCAGCCAGTGCCATGGTTTCCACACAAAAACTCACACAAATCTGGGTGGCTGTTTCAACTGGTGCCTAGAAAGCCTGGGAGACAGAGATGCCCATTCAACTGAAAAAGAGGGGGCTGAAACAGGGAGCCAGGTGATCTGGCTCAGCGGGTCCCACCCCCACAAAGACCAGCAATCTGAAACGCTCTGGATTAAGAGTTTTACAGCAAGTGTAGCTGGACCCAGGAAAGCGCTGGCTGTGGGGGGAACAGTCTGCCATTATCAAGGCAGTCCACCACTACGGAGGCAGTCCACCATTACTAAGGCAGTCTGCCATTACTGAGGATGTCCACCATCACCGAGGCAGTCTGCCATTGTTAAGGCAGGCCACCATTACCAAGGCAGTTCTAACTGTACCTCTGTAAACAAAATCACAAGGAAGTTTACACAGCAGCTGGGCAGAGCCCATGGCAGCTCAGCAATGCCTCTGCTGGCAGACTGTGACTAGGCTACCTCTTTGCTGGGCAGGGCATCTCTGAAAAAAGGCAGCAGCATGCAAGAAACTTACAAATAAAGCCCCACCTTCCCAGGACAGAGTACCTGGGAAAAGAGGTGGTTATGAGTTCCACTGCGGCAGACCTAAACACACCTGCCCAGCAGCTCTGAACAGAACAACAGAGCTCCCAGCACAGCACTTGAGCTCCTACAGGGACAGACCATCTCCTCAAGCAGCTCCCTGAACCCTGTATACCCAGAGACACCTCATAAAGGAGAGCTCAGGCAGACATCTGGCAAGTACCCTTCTGGGATGAAGATAACAGAAGAAACTGGCAGCAACCTTTACTCTTCTGCAGCCCCCATGAGTGATCCCCACACAAGCAAGATCTGGGGTTGACCTCCAGCAGTCTTGCAGCATAGGGGCTTGACTATTAGAAGGAAAACTAAAAGACAGAAAGAAATAGCTTCAACATGAACAAAAAGGATGCCCACTCGAGACCCCACCCAAAAGTCACCAACTACAAAGACCACAGGTAGAAAAATCCATGAAGATGGGAAGAAACCAGCACAAAAAGGATGAAAACACCAAAAACCAGAATGGCTCTCCTCCTGCAAGGGAACACACTCACCAGCAAGGGACAAAGCTGGATGGAGAATGAGTCTGATGAATTGACAGAAACAGGCTACAGAAGGTGGGTAATAACAAACTTCCCTGTGCTAAAACAACATGTGCCAACCCAATGCAAAGAAACTAAGAACCTTGAGAAAAAGTTAGCTGAAATGCTAACAAAAGTATACACCTTAGAGAAGAATATAAACGAGTTGATGGAGCTAAAAAACACAACATAATAACTTGGTGAAGCATTCACAAGTTTCAATAGCTTGTGTATGACCAAGCAGAAGAAACGATATCAGAGATTGAAGATCAACTCAATGAAATAAATCAAGAAGGCAAGATTAGAGAAAAAAAGAGTGAAAAGAAATGAGCAAAACCTCCAAGAAATATGGGATTATGTGAAAAGACCTAGTCTATGTGTGATAGATGTACCTGGATGTGATGGAGAGAATGAATCCAAGCTGGAAAATACTCTTCAGGATATTATCCAGGAGAACTTCCTCTATCTAGCAAGGCAGGACAACATTCAAGTCCTGGAAATACAGAGAACACCACAAAGATATACCTCAAGAAGAAGACCAACCCAAAGGCACATAATTGTCAGATTCACCAGGGTTGAAATGAAGGAAAAAATACTAAGGTCAACCAGAAAGAAAGGTCGGGTTACCCACAAAGGGAAGTCCATCAGACTCACAGCAGATCTCTCTGCAGAAACCCTACAAGCCAGAAATGAGTGGAGGTCAATATTCAACATCCTTAAAGAAAAGAACTTTCAAACTGGAATTTCATATCCAGCCAAACTAAGCTTCACAAGTGAAGGAGAAATAAAATCCTTTACAAACAAGCAATTGGTGAGAGATTTTGTCACAACCAGGCCTGCCTTACAAGAGCTCCTGAAAGAAGGACTAAACATGGAAAGGAGCAACCAGGACCAGCCACTCCAAAAATGTACCAAATGGTAAAGACCATAGACACGATGAAGAAAATGTGTCAACTAATAGGCAAAACAACCAGCTAGCAACAAAATGGCAGATCAACTTCACACATAACAGTATTAACCTTAAATGTATATGAGCTAAATGCCCCAATCAAAAGATACAGACTGGAAAATTGGATAAAAAGTCAAGACCCATTGGTATGCTCCATTCAGGAAACCCATCTCATGTGCAAGGACACACATAGGCTCAAAATAAAGGAATGGAGGAAGATTAACCAACCAAATGGAGAGAGAAAAAGAAACAGGAGTTGCAATTCTACTCTCTGATGAAATGGACTTTAAACCAACAAAGATCAAAAGAGACAAAGAAGGGCATTACGTAATGGCAGAAGGAGCAAGGCAACAAAAAAAGCTAATGATACTAAATATATACACACCCAATACAGGATCATCCAGATACATAAAGCAAGTTCTTAACAATGTACAAAGAGACTTAGACTCCTATACAATAATAGCGAGTGACTTTAACTCTCCACTGCCAATATTAGATAGGTCAATGAGACAGAAAATTAACAAGGCTATCCAGGACTTGAACTCAGATCTAGACCAAGCAGACCAAATAAACATCTACAGAACTCTCCACCCCAAATCCACAGAATATATATTCTTCTCAGCACCACATGGCACCTACTCTAAAAACTGACCACATAATTGGAAGTAAATCACTCCTCAGCAAATGCAAAAGAACTGAAATCATAACAAATAGTCTCTCACATCACAGTGCAATCAAATTAGAACTCAGCATTAACAAACTAACTCAGAACCGCACAACTGCATAGAAACTGAACAACTAGCTCCTTAATGTTGACTGGGTATTCAATGAAATGAAGACAGAAACAAAGATGTTCTTCAAAACCAACGAGAATGAAGACACAATGTACCAGAATTTCTGGAACATTTAAAGCAGTGTCTAGAGGGAAATTTATAGCACTGAATGCCCACATGTGAAGCAAGGAAAGATCTAAAACCAACACACTATCATTGAAATTGAAAGAGTTAGAGGAGTAAGATTTAAAAACTGAAAAGCTAGTAGAAGACAAGAGATAACTGAGATCTGAGCAGAACTGAAGGAGACACAGACACATAAACCCTTCAAAAAATCAATAAATCCAGAGGCTCGTTCTTTGAAAACATCAACAGAATAGACAGACGGCTAACCAGATTAATAAAAAACAAAAGAGAGAAGAATCAAATAGATGCCATAAGAAATGGTAAAGGGGATAGATATCACCACCAATTCCACAAAAATACAGACTATCCTCAGAGATTACTTCAAACAACTCTATGCACATAAACCAGTAAACCTGGAAGAAATGGATAAATTCCTGGACACTTGCACACTCCCAAGCTTAAACCAGAAAGAAATTGAAACCCTGAATAGACCAATAATGAGGGCTGAAGTTGAGGCAGCAATTAATAGCCTACCAACCAAAAAAAGCCCAGGTCCAGATGGGCTCACAGCCAAATTCTACCAGACATACAAAGAGGAGCTGGTACCACTCCTTCTGAAACTATTCCAAACAATACAAAAAGAGGGAATCCTTCCCAAATCATTTTATTATTTTTTTAATTGCATTTTAGGTTTTGAGGTACATGTGCAGAACATGCAAGATAGTTGCATAGGTACACACATGGCAGTGTGTTTTGCTGTCTTCCTCCCCTTCACCCACATTTGGCATTTCTCCCCAGGCTATCCCTCCCCAGCTCCCTCCCCCTGTCCCTCCCCTATTCCCCCCAATAGACACCAGTGTGTAGTACTCCCTTCCCTGTGTCCATGTGTTCTCATTTTGCATCACCCGCTTATGAGTGAGAATATGCGGTATTTCATTTTGTGTTCTTGTGTCAGTTTGCTGAGAATGGTGTTCTCCAGATTCATCCATGTCCCTACAAACGACACGAACTCATCATTTTTTATTGCTGCATAATATTCCATAGTGTATATGTGCCACATTTTCCCAGTCCAGTCTATCATCGATGGGCATTTGGGTTGGTTCCTGGTCTTTGCTATTGTAAACAGTGCTGCTATGAACATTCGTGTGCATATGTCCTTATAGTAGAACGATTTATAGTCCTTTGGATATATACCCAGTAATGGGATTACTGGGTCAAATGGAATTTCTATTTCTAAGGCCTTGAGGAATCACCACACTGTCTTCCACAATGGTTGAACTAATTTACATTCCCACCAACAGTGTAGAAGTGTTCCTATTTCTCCACATCCTCTCCAGCATCTATTGTCTCCAGATTTTTTAATGATCGCCATTCTAACTGGCATGAGATGGTATCTCAATGTGGTTTTGATTTGCATCTCTCTAATGACCAGTGATGATGAGCATTTTTTCATATGTTTGTTGGCCTCATGTATGTCTTCTTTTGTAAAGTGTCCGTTCATATCCTTTGCCCATTTTTAAATGGGCTTGTTTGTTTTTTTCCTATAAATCTGTTTGAGTTCTTTGTAAATTCTGGATATCAGCCCTTTGTCAGATGGGTAAACCGCAACAATTTTTTCCCATTCTGTTGGTTGCGGATTCACTCTAGTGACTGTTTCTTTTGCCATGCAGAAGCTGCGGAGTTTGATTAGGTCCCATTTATCTATTTTGGCTTTTGTTGCCAATGCTTTTGGTGTTTTGGTCATGAAGTCCTTGCCTACTCCTATGTCCTGAATGGTTTTGCCTAGATTTTCTTCTGGGGTTTTTATGGTCTTCTAGGGTGCAAGGTCTTATGTTTAAGTCTTTAATCCATCTGGAGTTAATTTTAGTGTAAGGTGTCAGGAAGGAGTCCAGTTTCTGCTTTCTGCACATGGCTAGCCAGTTTTCCCAACACCATTTATTAAACAGGGAATCCTTTCCCCATTGCTTGTTTTTGTCAGGTTTATCAAAGGTTGTATGGTTGTAGATATGTTGCGTTGCCTCCGATGCCTCTGTTCTGTTCCATTGGTCTATATCTCTGTTTTGGTACCAGTACCATGCTGTTTTGATTACTGTAGTATAGTTTGAAGTCCGGTAGTGTGATGCCTCCCGCTGTGTTCTTTTTGCTTAGAATTGACTTGGCTATGTGGGCTCTCTTTTGGTTCCATATGAAGTTCATGGTGGTTTTTTCCAGTTCTGTGAAGAGAGTCAATGGTAGCTTGATGGAGATAGCATTGATTCTGTAAATTACTTTGGTCAGTATAGCCATTTTCACGATATTGATTCTTCCTAACCATGAACATGGAATGTTTCTCCATCTGTTTGTGTCCTCTCTGATTTCGTTGAGCAGTGGTTTGTAGTTCTCCTTGAAGAGGTCCCTTACGTTCCTTGTTAGTTGTATTCCTAGGTATTTTATTCTTTTTGTAGCAATTGTGAATGGCAGTTCATTTTGATTTGGCTCTCTTTAAGTCTGTTATTGGTGTATAGGAATGCTTGTAATTTTTGCACATTGATTTTATATCCCGAGACTTTGCTGAAGTTGCTTATTAGTTTCAGGAGTTTTTGGGCTGAGGTGATAGGGTCTTCTAGGTATACTATCATGTCGTCTGCAAATAGAGACAATTTGACTTCCTCCTTTCCTATTTGAATACCCTTTATTTCTTTTTCTTGCCTGATTGCTCTGGCTAGAACTTCCCGTACTATATTGAATAGAAGTGGTGAAAGAGGCATCCTTGTCTAGTGCCGGATTTCAAAGGGAATGCTTCCAGTTTTTGCCCATTTAGTATGATATTGGCTGTTGGTTTGTCACAAATAGCTTTTATTACTTTGAGATACATTCCATCAATACTGAGTTTACTGAGGGTTTATTAGCATAAAGCCTGTTGAATTTTGTCAAAGGCCTTCTCTGCATCAATTGAGATAATCATGTGGTTTTTTGTTTTGGTTCTGTTGATGTGGTGAATTATGTTTATAGACTTGCATATGTTGAACCAGCCTTGCATCCCTGGGATGAATCCTACTTGATCATGATGAATAAGTTTTTTGATTTGCTGTTGCAATTGGCTTGCCAGTATTTTATTGAAGATTTTTGCATCTATGTTCATCATGGATATTGGCCGGAAGTTTTCTTTTCTTGTTGAGTCTCTGCCGGGTTTTGGTATCAGGATGATGTTGGTCTCATAAAATGATTTGGGAAGGATTCCCTCTTTTTGGATTATTTGGAATAGTTTCAGAAGGAATGGTACCAGCTCCTCTTTGTGTGTCTGGTAGAATTTGGAGGTGAACCCATCTGGACCTGGGCTTTTTTGTGTGTGGTAAGCTCTTAATTGCTGCCTCGACTTCAGACCTTGTTATTGGTCTATTTATAGTTTCAGCTTCCTCCTGGTTTAGGCTTGGGAGGACACAGGTGTCCAGGAATTTATCTATTTCTTCCAGGTTTACTAGTTTATGTGTATAGAGTTGTTTATAATATTCTCTGATGATGGTTTGAATTTCTATGGAATCTGTGGTGATATCCCCTTTATCATTTTTTATTGCATCTATTTGGTTGTTCTCTTTTTTCTTTTTTATCAGTCTGGCTAGTGGTCTGTCTGTTTTGTTAATCTTTTCAAAAAACCAGCTCTTGGATTTATTGATTTTTTGAAGGGTTTTTCGTGTCTCTATCTCATTCAGTTCTGCTCTGATCTTAGTTATTTCTTGTCTTCTGCTAGGTTTTGAGTTTTTTGACCTTGCTCCTCTAGCTCTTTCAATTTTGATGATAGGAGTCAATTTTGGATTTCTCCACTCTTCCTGTATGGGCACTTATTGCTATATATTTTCCTCTGGAGACTGCTTTAGATGTGTCCCAGAGATTCTGGTATGTTGTGTCTTCGTTCTTGTTGGTTTTGAAGAACTTCTTTATTTCTGCCTTCATTTCATTGTTTATCCAGTCAACATTCAAGAGCCAATTGTTCAGTTTCCATGAAGCTGTGCAGTTCTGAGTTCGTTTCTGAATTCTAACTTGAATGCACTATGGGCTGAGAGACTGTTTGTTATTATGTCAGTTGCTTTGCATTTGCTGAGGAGTGCTTTACTTCCAATAATGTGGTCAATTTTAGAGTAGGTGTGATGTAGTGCTGAGAAGAATGTATATTCTGTGGATTTGGGGTGGAGAGTTCTGTAAATGTCTATCAGGTTTGCTTGCTCCAGGTCTGAGTTCAAGCCCTGGATATCCTTGTTAATTTTCTGTCTGGTTGATCTGTCTAATATTGACAGTGGAGTGTTAAAGTCTCCCACTATTATTGTGTGGGAGTCTAAGTCTCTTTGTAAGTCATTAAGAACTTGCCTTATATATCTGGGTGCTCCTGTATTGGGTCCATATATATTTAGGACCATTAGCTCTTCTTGTTGTATCGATCCTTTTACTATTATGTAATGTCCTTCTTTGTCTCTTTTGATCT